ACCTTTAACCAGCGATGACTTAGTAGATGGATGACACCAACTGGGCCATACTTTTCCACCTGCAAGAGGTAAGTTCCACCTCCACCTCCACCTCTGATCTGCGCGCACCGCCAGGACCCCACCCCCACTGCCGCCGCAGCAAGCGCCCGGAAGCCGCGCGGGGGACTCCGAGCCGGAGCGAAGGCCCCGCCCACTGCCCCCAAAGCAGTGCTCCCGGACCCTCGGACCGGTCAAGGAGTCGCCGGGGTCAAAGGGAGCATTCTTCGCGCGGCCCTCTGCTTCCCTCTGGACCCTAGGGCTCAGAAGTCAGAGCGCACCGGACTGAGGATAGGACGACCGGGCCGGCTAGGGGCCGGGACCCAGCAGCACAGCCCGGGGCGCTGGTTCCGAGAGAAAGGAGCTCCTCCCCACCTGCTCCCGGGCTCCGCCTGGCCTCTGGGCCCAGACGTCCGGAGAAAAGGGAGGCGCAGAAGGAGACAGGCTGAAGGACACTTACTTAAGAGCTACATACTCCCACTTCCCACCTTTAGGCTAAGGAGGTACCTCGCAGGTCCTCGATTGAGATCTTATTGCCCACCACTCCAGGGCGGCCGCTCAGCATTGCGACCCACCCCTTTACTCTAACGTTGGGCGGAGCCGAGCTCGGGTCAGCCCAATGAGCGGCCGTTCTTATCCAGAGTGACGTGCACGCAGAGCAATCATTGAGTCGGCCCAACCGAGGGTAGGGCTCAGGCGACTCACTTGGCTTCCTACTCAGGCTGGACCCGCCCAAACCACCGACTGCGCGTGCCCAGAATGGGAAGAGGCGGGGCTGAGGGCCGGTCTGACTCTAGGGTTGGGGTCCGAGCTCCTAGACTGCGGGCACAGCGATGGGGAAGGAGAACCCACCCGGAAGCTTCTGGACCCCCGAATCGCACTTCCCCGCACGCTTTGCAGGACAGAGGTGCTCGGCTCTGAGAGGCGCGCCACTCTGTTTCTGCCACTGTCCTTGGGTTCTAGTCCTCTCACTTCCATGGACTCCGCACGAGCTAAACCCTCTTTTCAGTAGTACCAGGATCTCAGTGTCCTCATCCGCAAAATAGCGAGAGGTTGCCGGCTGTGGTAGCGCACACCTGTGATCCCTGCACTAAGGGAGGCTGAGCCAGGAGGATCACAAATTCCAGTCCCGCCTGGGCAATTTAACGACATCCTGTCTCAAAAAAGGCTGGGGAATGTAAAAGCCCCGGTATCTGACCCCCACCCCAACCCCGCGGAAAAGTCGAATCTGCTGAGTGCTGACGTTCCAGAACTGTGTGGAGTGCAGAGAGAGTGATAGGAGACTCACAGGTGACCGCCCGAGCGGGCCACGCCCACCCCAGTCCCGGGGGGGGGGGCCGCCTCGCGCCGGACAGCGGGGGTGGGCAGGTCCTCGGGGACCGGCCCCGGCAGACCTTGTCAGTGGCTGAAGCGGCGCGCGCGGCTGCTGGCCCTGGGGTTGGCACCAGAGGAGGATGGGGTCCGCAGCCCGGGCATGGCAGGGAGCCACGGTGGAGGCCAGGGTCGCGCAGAGAGGCGGCGTGTGACAGAAGCGCGTCTGGGAGAATGAGTGAGCCGGTGGGCGGCAGCTAAGAGGGCTCCCTCTCCGCGCCGGTCTTCCGAGGCGCCCGTCGCGAATCCCGGGCCGGCTCGGTCGACGGCAGCGGCAATGCCTAGCGAGTGGCGAGCCATGCGGAGCGCTGGGGACGCACAGCCCAAGCCTGGCCTCGGGGCCGGCCGCGTCCTGTCGCGCTGAGGGCGAAAGGGGAGCGGGGGCGCACCGCCATGGCCAGGGAGGAAAGCAAGGTGCTGCTGGACGCGCTCAACAAGACGACCGCGTGCTGCCACCACTTGGTGCTGACCGTCGGCGGCTCGGCGGACTCGCAGAATCTGCGGGAGGAGCTGCAGAAGACGCGCCAGAAGGCGCTGGAGCTAGCTGTGGCCACTGGCACCCGACTGACGGTAGCGCTGCGCGACAGGGGTCTGGCCGCCGAGGAGCGCGCGGAGTTCGAGCGCCTTTGGGTGGCCTTTTCCGGCTGCCTGGACCTGCTGGAAGCCGACATGCAGCGCGCGTTGGCGCTGGGCGCCGCGTTCCCGCTGCACGCGCCCCGGCGGCCGCTGGTGCGCACGGGGGTGGTGGGCAGCTGCTCGGGCGTGGCGGCACGCGCCCTGAGCGTCCGCAGCCTTCGGCACGAGGCGGGGCGCGACTTCTACGTCGTAGACTTGCAGGAGTTGGAGCGAGAGGTCCTTCAGGTGGGCGAGATGATCAACGACATGGAAATGAAGGTCAGCGTGCCCCACTGGACAGTACAGCCCCGGCAGACGGCGGGCGCCGAACTCCTGTCCAGTGCCAGCGCCGGAGCTTCCTCAGCCATGTCGGTACCGGAGCGCTCGGGGCACTGCGACCCGAGCAAGGCCCTGGCTGCCACGATTTTCAGCGCGGTGCTGCTGGCGGCTGTGGCTCTAGCCTTGTGCGTAGCAAAGCTGAGCTGACCGACACCAGCTGGTCACCGCCGCCGCAGCTCCCACCGCGGAAACAAGACTCGGGATGGGCTTGAGGTCTGGGCTGTTAAGGGGAGGGGCACTAAAGCACTTGTGTGTACCTTGAGTACACACTCATTTCATGCATACCCCTGCCTGGGTAAGACATCGTTTTCTCTTGCTGGGCCCGGAGTTAGCTTTTGCGGGCCGTCAGGGCATTATGGCTAATGTATGCGGGAGCATTATTCTCTACCCCAGATCTCATCTTGTTAGTAGGGCATCGTTACACAGAGTCCACATTTGGTGCCCCCAACCCTGTCAATGTTTGTCCCCCCTGGGTGTGACAGTTTGGAAAAATGGGTGAGGTGGAAGGAAGCCTAAAGAGCAGGGCGGTTTTGCTCCATGTGGGTGATTGTTTTGTTTCCTGGACAAGAAACAATTTGCAATAAGATATGAGCAGTTTCTATGACCTTAACCCCGTGGGGCCCATGCTTAGAAGGGTGCACAGTTAGAAGTTCATATACAGTGCTTTCATTATGGCGCACTATTGTGCTTCTTGGCAGAGTTTATCCATTAGTCACCAATAGCAGCTACAGAGAGGTTTGGGGTTGTGACCTCCCACTACTGTGCAGGATCTGACCCTATTTAGGAAACCAAAGAAGATCATTGAACCGCTGTGGCAGGATTGTATCTACTGTACACACTTTGGCCTGCAGAAGAGGGCCCTCCTTAGCCAGCCCAGGACGGGGGAAAGATGGGTCCAGGAGGCTTTGGAGAGAGCCACAGGTTATATGAACGGGCACTTTCTCCTTCACAGGGACTTATTTTCATTCCAGAACTAGACCAGAGTGTTTGATCCTCCTTTGAGGGAGTGCTGGGAAATCCTCTTTGGAGTACTTAATCCTGTCTATCCCCAGAATTTGCTTGCTGGCCAATAGGAGAGCTGGGCTTTGGAGGGAGCTGCGAAGCTCCCTGACCCCAACTTTGCCCAAAGAAGGTAATGTGGCGTTACTGGCCTACAGAGGTTTTCAGCCAATCAGCTCTGAGACTGGGTTAGAATTTGTAACAGCTTTAAATTGGAATTTAAGAAGCTTTTTAAAAAATGATAATCATCTGAGAGAAAAAAATCACATAAGTACTATCAAAGCCGTTTTTTTAAAAAAAAAAAAAATAAAGGACATTGGGCCACAAATTCATATGTGCCAATGAGCCAAACATAGAATTCTTTAGGTGGACTTAGGTTACAGAAAATACATTTGCATCTATTTTTAAAAACCTATGTTCTTAAATATAGACTGAATTTTGAGGTTGTAGCATAAACTACTGGCGTGGATGACAGAAGTAAATGGCCCCGGCTTCTTTTGATCAATAAGTACGTAAATGTGGAAAACACTCTTGGTCCCATTTGCCTGAGCAATGCTGCCACCTTCCACCTGGGGTCCAGAGAGGGCTCTGCCACAGTCCTGGGGGAAGTGAGGCTGAGGAGACTGATGTACAAAACTTTCTAAAGGTAATTTTTTGGTTTGTTTTAAATTTTTTATTTTTTTTGAGACAGGGTCTTGCTATGTAATCCAGGACTGGCCTTGAACTCAGTGTGTAGTCTGGGCTGGCCTCAAACTTCTGGCCATCCTCCTACCTCAGTCTCAGCCTTGGGTTATAGGCATGTGCCACCACGCCCAGCTAAAGGTTATTTGGAACAAAAGAGACCTTGGTTTGGTTGAAAATTGTTGCAATTTTTTTTTTCATAACCCCAGAAGTGGGAAAGGAGACCAGGTGGAGGGAACTGGCAGTTTTTCACAAGGGCACCTTGAGAGCTAAGGGGGCAGAAGTAAATACTATAGCGTTGCTGTCTGGGAACCCAGTCCTAAAGGCCACTCTCCTCGCCCATTCCCGCTCCTCTTCAGCACAGATTCCAGAGCTTCAGCTAGGGATACGTGGACTCTAAAAGCCCACAGTAGGGCTTGGGTGTGGCTCAGTGGTAAGGTGTTTGCCTACCACACCCAAGGCCCTAGGTTCAATCCCTCTGCTTTGTAAAAAGGTAAATAAGATCTACCAGATCTTAAACTGATCAAACCGAGATTGTTTCAAAGAACACCAAAGGGGTGGATATGCACCTCAGTGTGAAGGCCCTGAGGGTTCAATCTCCAGTGCCACAAAAAAAAGAAGGAAAAAAAAAAAACTTGTACGACAGTTACTAATAATTGAAGCTTCTTCTGCCTCACTAGTCTGGGTGAGTCTAAATAGAGGCCACACTCAGTTTTCTTGCACTTGCCTGCTCAGGATGCCTTTGGAGATGACACAGAAAGACTTTAAACTCCACCTCCCACACACAACATGGAGAATCTGATACCTTCTCCAAAGTCTTCTCCCCCTCAGGCAAGAAAAAAATGGGGCATTTTATGACTCTGTATTGGAAAATATCCCTAAAAACCAAGCCCCAAATGTACTTCTAAGATTGCTGTTTCTAAGAGCTCAACCTTCTGTTTTTTTCAGGGTATTTTGATTCACGAAAAAAAATATTCAGTACAACCTATTTTTTAAAAAACACTCTCAGGGACTGGGCATTTAGCTCAGTGGCATTGCATCTGCCTCAAGCACATGTCCTGAGTTTGATCCCCAGTACTGCAAAAACAAAACCCAAAAAAATGCATATTAGAAAAAAACCTCTCAGTTGAATAATCCACTGAGAGCAAACAGGACAAACACATTTTCTTGTCACTTTTTCCAGCCACCTGGCAGTTCCTAGGGTTTTTAATTCTATGTGCAATCAGGTGCATATCTGATTCAGAGATTCTTTTACCCACTAAAATTAGTAATAAAATGTTGCAAAAAGAAATAGCTAATTAGAGCATAATACTCACCCTGTGAACCTGTTAACCTAACACAATTCTTGAGTCTGAAAATTTTAAGCATTAGGAATACTTGGCATTCTTTGGAGTTATAACATCATCTAAGAAAACTATATGACAAGCAAAATCACTCTCTGCCTTGTGCTGTAGGCTGCTCTCTAATATCCCTGCTTTCATTTCTATGTATAATGCAAGAGATTGCTTTCTGATATAAGCCTAATTCAATTTAGATGTTTGGTAGGGAAGTGATTGATTTTCTATAAATATTTGATATGATCTTATACTGTGATACAAGTGATAGTAAAATATTTTAAATGCATTGGTTGACATTAAAAAGAAATTGGAATGGCAAGGCACTTATGATATAATAGTTGTAGGAGAAAAATGCCTGGCTATTTTTTCATATGTTCTAAAAACCTATGCTTTTAAATGACACAAGGGAAAAATATTATTGCTAAGTAAAAAAAAGTTAGAGTATAAATTTCATGATTTGCCTACAGCTTACAGTAAGCTACATAAAAGATGTGTGATATTTAAAGACTAAAAAAATATGTGTGATGCTGAATGACTATAAAGTAGCTCTGATTGAAGAGAGTTCGGTGTTCATGAGAACCCTGGTAATGCTGCTTCTTTTCTCCAGTGTGCACATTGATCCATTTTTAGCTACTTGGTCCGTTCTGAGACTGTGCTTCTCCACTCTGCAATGAATACTTTGTAAGGGTGTGAGCCCCAGAGTGTGAGCCTATGTGTCAGCCTGAGAAATGAAATGTAGAACCCACCTCTGCATTCCCCTGAGGTGTGCCTCCTTCCTCAGGGCTCAGCCAGCTGTGATGAGCCAGGGACTCTGCCTCTCTCCTGGTACCTCAACAAGACATTGACCTCCCTGTGCCTCAAATCATTCATTTGTGAATTGGGATTTCACAAAGGACTGGTTCACTCTAACATCCTTTTCGAGCTTAAAATGTTTGACAGAATATAGTTAAGCAAGAAGGGTTATATTGTTGATTGGTTAAGTCTGGGGTTTGTTGTCTGTTGGTTTTGGTGCATACAGGAATGAAACCTTACAGCTTAGTGGTTACTGTCTAAAATTAGTTTTTGAAAAATTATGTCAAATTCTATATTAGTTTTAAAAATCAGAACTAATAAGGCTTATTGCGATTTTTTGTTTTTTTGGCACATCAGAATTAGTAAATGGACTTTAAAAAGCAAATGTAGGGCCAGGGATTTAGCTCCAAGTTCGATCCCCGGTATCAAAAAAAAAAAAAAAAAAGTAAATGTAGGCCAGGTATGGTGGCACATGGCTATAATCTCAGAACTCACGAGGCTGAGGCAGGAAGATCCTGAATTCAAGGCTAACCTGGTCTACATAGCAAGGCCATATTTCAAAAAACAAGCACAATAACCAAAGCAAATGTGGGGCTGGGGTTAAAGCTTATTGATAGAGATCTTGCCTAGCATGCTAAGGAGCTGGCACCACAAAGAAAAGAATAGTAGGGGCCGGGGATTTAGCTCAGTGGTTCCGCCACCTGCCTTGCAAGCAGAAGGATCCAAGTTCAATCCCCAGTACCAAAAAAAAAAAGAAAAGAAAAGAATAGAATAGTAAATGTGTATGTATGCTATTTGTTTATAGTACTTAAATTAGATGAGAAATTTAAATTCAGACTCTATGTCTGAGTCCAAGAAAACCCAGTTATTTAAATGGTCTGTGTTGCCTGGCAATTAGGCCCCCTGAACAAATTCTGGGAAATTCTAGATACACACCCCTGTCATTTGTCACAGAGGCTGGAAGAAAGATTCTATAAATTGGTGGCCTCAGAATTGTAACTGCATTCGAAGCAGCAAGGTTGCTTCTGTATGTGGCATCAGATGCACAGTGAGATTAAAGGCTACATGTCCGCTCTTTGACATTTATTTTGACAGGTTCTAGAATTTTTATTAATTAGTGAAAATTTAAAGATAATATGCAACTTGTATAACTTACTGGGAAAAGGCACCTTCAAATGATTCAGCTATCAACTTGTGATTTTAAAATAATATCCTTGGGCTGGGGATTTAGCTCAGTGGTTTTGCTGCCTGCTGCACAAGTGCAAGGACCTGAGTTCGATCCCCAGTACCAAAGAAAAGAAAAGAATATCCTTAATTTTCCTCACATATATTTGAATAAAAGTGAACATCCTGATCAACATATTTATCCTTTACAGATTATATAACATCAAGAGATGTTCACAAATACTTTACAGATCATAAAGGGCTAGGTGCTTTTCTACAATATGATTATACTCAGCTTTTAATACAGGAAGGAATCTGGGAGGAGTAGATCTTTGGCTCAGGTCACTACAGGTCAAAGTTATATTTTAAATACTGTTTCTTCTGGCTCTCTGGAATTGGCAAGATGTAGATGCTGTGGTCCTGTGTCCATGAGGACAAGATAAATTTCTCATTTATATATTTTTCATCTCATTCCGTAGATCAGGGGTGGCGAACCTAAGGCACATGTGCCACAGCAAGCATACAGAGCCCGCTCAGTGATAATCTCACAAGTTGTATGAGTCGTTTTTCTAAAGTAAACCCTCAGAATTCAGGTTTAATTGCAGTGTTGGCACTTTACAATAAATAAGTGGGTTTTGGGTTGCAGTTTAGACACTCAGTCTCTATAAGGTTTCCCATCACTGCCATAGAGGATCCTGGGTGTTTTCACTGCAGTACTATGAGATGTTGGACATACTCATTCTTGGATGTTTAGGTTGAGAATTTACAACCTTAGGGCTGGGGACATCCTAAGAGGTAGAAGTCTGACTAAGTGGCAGAGCTCTTGACTAGCATGCATGAGGCCCTGGGTTCAATCCCCAGCACTCCAAAACAAAAACCTTAAGGTTTATATGACCTATGTAAATAAACAAAGAAAGCTCCTGTTTTCAAATGTTTTTTTTTAAAGAGCCTTTTTCATTTCTGGTGCCAGAAAGCAAAGTTGAATGTCCACTGCTTGTAATATATGTATTAGGTATGTGGAGAGTCATAAGAAAATATAGAGAAATGAAAATACTTGTTAAAGTGATGGGATTGTGAATGGTGTTTTTCAGTATTTTTATTTCATGTTGTTATGTTGTTTTTACAATAAAATTTTAAATGCTGTTATCATCTAGAAAATGTTATTTAGTTATTAAAATTTTAGCAGGCGATGGTGGAACACACCTTTAATCCCAGCATTCTGGAAAGCTGAGGCAGAAGGATCACAATTTCAAACCCAGCTTGGGCAACTTGGGAACTTAGTGAGGCCCTGTCTCACACTAAAAAATAAAATAAAATGCTGGAGATGTAACTCAGTGTGAAGGCCCTAGGTTCAATCCCCAGTAGCACAAAAAAAGTGTGTTTTAGCAGTTTGGGTATCAAGTAGAGTTTCAGAACTTTCTCCCAAAAAGCAAAGCAAAATCCTTGAAAATATTACCCAAGAAATCAGAAGAAGCATGTTTTACAATGTCCTGCCACTGTTATTATTATTTGTCATACTATGTTAAAAGCCCTAAAAATTGAATAGTAATAATGCAGTCATGACATAATCAAGGACCACTATAGGAATGGGGAAATAGGCAGAATCCTAGACCCTGATGTGCTGATCATTAAAAGCATGATTTCTGTTTTTTTCTTGGACTTTAAAGGCCATTTCTACTGTTAACTGAGACAAGAACTAAGATTCTATTAGTAAAGACAGCAGCCCAAAAATTGAGTCAGTAAATCCAAAATGAAGTCTGCTGGGTCATCATTCTCTGGAGATCTTACAAAAATATCTGCCAGGTATCCTGCACTGTCACGGAGCTCCCCAGAGCATGATCAGACAGGCCATTGGCTGAAGGGCACATGAGCCAAGCATGAGCATTACATGAGCACTGTACAGATTAGACCCTGAAAAGTATGTAGTCTCCTATAGGGTAGAGATCATATCACTTACATAATGGCCCAACCTCTCTTCTAAACTCCTTAAAAACTCCAAGACAAAGAGCCTTCAAGGGTATTGTGTTCAGTGTTAAGACCGAGGGCCTTACCAAACGCTCCGAGGAGCTGAAGTGGAGCACACCC